AAGTCTTAAAATCTGACACATATTTTATCCCTAGAGCAGAGCACATCTCATTCAGGCCCACCACACTTTTACAGCACTCAGTGGTCATCCATGCTGTGTGGGACCAAATGGAATAAAATCACGGCTGCTTTACTTCCTCTGCATGGTTCCATCCCATTCCAGAAATGTCTGCCTTAACTTCCACTCTGTGTGTCCACAGTTCCTCATTTTTCTTCCTTGTGGCATCTGGGGGTGTCCTAAAGCTTACAATGTCTCTATGCCTGTTATTATGCTTTAATTCTCATAGAAAATTTATGTTAGTTTTTCCCATCTTCTTGATTTCTTGAATACGGTTTTATGGGATACAAAATTCAGGAAAATACACATTTCCTAAGAAATTCTGCAAAGAAATTTTTACATGGAAACACTACTAGGAGATACACACAGAAAGTAAACTAGAGGTTCACAGAGGTTAAATTACTGTCCCAAGTCACACTACTGCTATGCTGGCTGATCATTTTCTTGGGTCTTACATTATATTATTCATTCTTATGTAAAAAGAAAGACAACAACTTCTTCTTCTCCTTCTTTTTCTTCTCTCTTTGTTCCCAATATGTTGAAAAATTTACTCTTGTCTAAGATTTTAATCAGAGGCACGATTGCAAGCAATGTTTTTATGCTTAAGCAAGATCCTAAGATGTGCTGAAAAAAATCTGGAACTAAATTTAGGAGTGCTGTCAGTTGAGAAGTAACTCTACTTAAGAACATGGAGTTAAGCCTGTACAATCAGTGACCATTTGCTTTTGAACAAAGGTAACAAGATAATTCAATGGGAGAAAGAATAGTTTTAACAAATGGTGCTGGGGCAACTGGGTATCCATATGAAAAAGAATAAAACTAAACCTCTATCTCACACTATTCCCTCACAAAAATTAACTGGAAATGTATCAGTAATTCAATTAGAAGGGCCAAAAGTGGTGAGGCCGAGTGGCACACACCTGAAATTCCAGCTATTCAGGGGGCTGAGGTAAGAGGATCACAAGTTCAAGGCCAACCTAGACAATTGAGAAAGCCCTCCACCTTAAAATTTTTAAAAACTACAAAATAGAGGATGCCAGAGATAAAACTCAGTAGTAGAGCACTCGCCTGGCATGCATGGATTCTTGAGTTCAGGCCCCAGCCCAGCAAAAACAAGAAAACAAAACAAAACAAAAATTTAAAAAAGAAAAAGAGCCAAAGGTGTAAAATTCTCACAAGAAAATATAGATCTAAATTTTCATAAACATGGATGTCTTACATATTCAAAAGAATAAGCAAGCCAAAGAGCTACTACCCAGTTTGAGATTCAAGACTGAAGGAGCAAAATGTCCCTTGAGTAGTTACTTTACATATGCCCTCAGAAAGCACTTCCAGAAGAATAAAAGAGATTTATCTCTTTTTTTCCACTTCCTAATACTGCCATGGCCCTATTTCCATCACCAAGACTTTAGAAACTTCAATGGAAATGGGAAGTCAATGAATGGAGGAATCTCACTGCTTCAATTCATACCACAGAATATCTGACTATTCGCTTTTGCAAATTACCAAGTGAGCAAACCAATTTAAAGAAATAAGGACGGTGCCACATGAAACACACACCTCTTATTTATCTTGACAAGGCATGGTTCCATTTTAGTGATTTATGTTAATGTTTTATTGTACACTGGTTATGCCCTGAAGTGTATTTTACAAAACTAATGAAGTCTGTTCTAATCCCAGACATCTTCTCCAGGATTCTCTCATTATGTCTTTGCTGAGAACTCTTGTGGGGCAGACCACCAACCACCATGTTAGTAAGGAAGCTTGCGAATTAGTGACATGAAAATCAGTCAGGTCCTAACAGTAGTGAGGGGTCCACGGGCAGTGCCAGTGGGATTCTGTGTTTTCACACAAAATGGTCTATTGGTCTTCATCACAGTGAGAGATGAGCAAACTGTGGTGTTTAGGGTTCATCAAACATCAAAACATTTTTTTGATGTTTTGGGTTTGCCAAAATCCAAAACACGTTTTGCCCTCAGCATTTTTCCCTTCATTTTCAAACCCCCATGTATTTTAAGGAAAATTTAATCCTTATGTTTCTGACTCATTTACACTTAACACGTGAACATGTTTCATAAGACTTATTTGAAGTCTATGAAGCCTTGTAAGTCTTCTAAAGCCCTTTTTCCGTAGTGGCAGGAAGCTGTGTGTTGCAAAGACATGTGAATCTGAATCCTCAATGAGTGGAATTGGTTTGAAACTCAAGATTTTTAAGACTCAATGTTAAGTTAAACTTGGTATAACCCATCCTTTCCCCCATAATTACTACCCTATACTTTGGTACATGGCTTTTAACAATGAAATAACTGAGGCTATGAAACACTAATTCCTGAAATTCTTGTGATACGTCCAGCAAGCTGGGTTTCCATAGAGAAGGAAAGAGCTGAAGTCATTTGCTATCTGTGGCCAGTTCAGTTCAGTTGAAGGTCTAGACTTCCTAGCTTCCCTCACAACCTTCCTTGGAAGCCACTGTCTCTTGAATGTTCAAGCTGAAAGCCCCTCCCTCTGCAGACCCCTCCCCACCTCACAAAGGGCTGTGAGGTGACCAAATACACAGGAATTCTACCAGACTCGGGTTCCAGTCCCAGGAATACCACCTCTCAGCAGGTATGCAGACTGGTGGGGGATTGCTGCCTGGACAAAGAATGTTTACTACCTTAGGAAAGATTAGAAGGAGAAACAAAAACAGTGATTAAGGCACAGACTTTTTGCTCAGGGTTATGACAGTAGATGGGGGAAAAGTGGCTTCTTCCACTACAATAGGACTCCAGATGAATCTGGAACATAGTAGAGATTGGGGGCTCACAGAGCCAGTTCCAGATTCTTCTGGGCACAAATGTAAGACACCTTGGGCTTCCCAGGCCAGAAATGAATTGGAGTGATTAGTGGTAAAGAGCAAGGATTGTAGAATGAATCAAATCTAGGCCCGTGTCATGCCTTCTCTACTTCTTCATTGTTTGATGCTTGGTAAACTCGCTCTATCTCCATTTTTCCAACTACAAATGAAGGCTTACAATACTTGTCTCACACACTTACTGTATTCATTAAAGGAGATCAAGCCTAGTAAGTGCTCACTGAGCGCATGTTAAAGGCATAAAGAGTCCTAGTTGCATTTGTTGCTCTCATTGTTGCTATTGTGCTCATTGTCAGACTAGCTGTTAAAGGATTTCTATCATCTGGGGCCCTTCACCCCACTGCTTACAACCCCTTTTCTTATCCCAATATTGGGATAGGCTTGAATATGCAGGAGTAGTTGTTTTACTTTTTTGTCACTGTCAAATCTCTTTGGGGTGTTAAAAATAATAGCCTTTCTCCTACCTTTGCCCATATGGTCAAGCCTGAATAAAGTCAGTAAGATAATGTTTCTTCTAACCTCTAGGCAGTAGTCATCAGTACCTGCTCTTCTGAGCTGCAAAAGGTTGCATTTAAATAGATCTGCCTCTCCTTTGAGATTGTTCTCTACTTTCTTCCATTTCAGCAGTGTCCCTCTCTCTAGTCACTTGTCTACATTTAATGATGGTCTTCTTTCTGCCCTCATGCCTTTCCATACAATTTACAACTATCCTTTGTGGAGTGCTTTCTCATTTCTTACTCATTCAAGAACTGTCATTAAACTCATGATCTTGGTCTCCAAACTGAACTCTTTTTCCTCCTCAGGTCAACAAAGGCCTCTCCTGTCTTTGACACTCAAGCCAAAATTCTTCAGTTATCTTGATTCTGGCTTTTTATCATCCCTCACATCTAATCCCTCACAGCTAATCACTGTTGATTCTACCTGTACAACAAATGTATTTCTACATCCTTTTCTAACTTCAGGCAAACTCAATATTAGCTAATGGCTGCACCACTGAAACTGCTTCTAACTGTGGATCCTTCCACCCTTGTTTCCCTTCTTCCTCTCCTACAATGCACTCTGCAGTGTTTTCTAAGATCCTACAAGGTCCACCTATTCTCATACCTTGTTTCATTCTCCCTGTAGCTCACCATGAGCCAGACACATTCACCTTTCTGCTCTTCAAATCTGTTGATCTCTCCCCAATGGGAGTCTTTCCTCTGCCCATAGGAAGGCTCTCTCCTCTCTTCTTCTAGTTGAAGTGGGAACTTCATGCCCTCTGAGAAGCCTTTCCTAACCTTCTTCATAGATCCTCACAGCACCCAGACTTCTCCTTTGTGACACTACAAGCGTCACTAAACAATTTAGGAAGTGAGTGTTTCATAGCTCCCAGTTGTGTCATAAGCTAAACTCTAGGAGGGCTGTCACTGCCTTACTCCCTGTTTTATCCCCAGTGGTGAGAAGAATGCTTCTCCTGGTTTGTTGTTACTAAAAAGGTCTTGAATGAATTAACTCCATCTAACTCTGTGCATGGTTGCCCTCAAATTCTCATGTATGATTTTAATGTTCTTCAGTTTTCAAAGTCATTGTAGTCAAGGAACTTGATCTGGTTCAGGGTTAGATTGTAAATTCTACTTGGAAAATTCCACATTTTCTATTTCTCATTTCTGTCACAGTGTTGCTATTCCCAATATTAGGAAATCACATTTATTGGTGTTTGTAGGCTCTGTGATAGCTCCTACTCATCCTAAACAACTATCTGATTGTCTGTAGGATTCATCCTTTTTACCATATCCTAAACAACTGAGTGATAATAGTCTATAGGACTCATCCTTTCTACCATATCCACTTTATAACATAGGCGTGGCTTACATTCAGCTGAGTGTCAATATGCAATCAGTGTTAAAGTTCACTGATTGTCATGTTTAACAAATGATTAGCATAACATTAAATAACTTCATGTTTTTTGTAAATTATGTTATTTCTAAAGTATGATCCAATAACATGAGAAGGAGGGAAAAAGCTCCAGAAAGCAAACACATTTAAAACTTATTCTTTAAACACATTCATTAAACTACCAGGTTAGTAAATAATCACTTTTTAAGAATAATCATTTTTTTAAACCTTTATTTTGAAGTGATTTCAAACCTACAGCAAAGTTGGGAGAATATATGAAGAAATTCCATATATATTTTCACCCAGATTCCCCAATTATAACATTTTAAATTCTCATTCTCATTTATCACTCTCTTTATCTCTCAGTATATATATTTCTGAATAATTTCAAAGTATTTATAGATAAGATACTTCTTAATTATTTTATATTTTTGAAAGAAACTTTCTTACATATGTATAGCAAAACAAGTAGAATCAGGAAATTAATATTAATACCATAGTATTATTTATGACAGAGATTCCAAACAAATAGTCCCTCTAATATCCTTTCTAAGCCCAGGATTAAGTCCAGAATTGGCAGTGTACTTGTTGGCCACATTTCTCTGGTCTTCCTCGGTGTGAAAAGCATCTATTTTTTCTCTTTTGTGACTTTAATATTTTTGAGGAGTATATGACAGTTATTTTGTAGAATGATACCTTTTCTATGTTTACCTAATGTTTCTTCATGACCAGAGTTGTATCAACCATTTTTAGCAAGAATACCACAGAAATAAATTTTTAAAAATGACAGAGGACACATTTTGTCAACTGTCTCATTAAAAATAAATTTAACTTTTTCACCTTAGCATTTACCAGATTTTTCCACTTTAAAATTATGTTTTAGATATATTATATTTAGAAAACTGTTGTAAGTTATAATATTTACTAAATATCTCATGAGACTATGTTAATAACTTATTCCTCATCAAATTTTATCCTCTAGTTTAGAATCCATTGATGATTTTTGCCTTCATCAATTATTATTGTTGTTGTTGTTTCCAAATGGTGATTTTTCTAATTTTATTATACCTTTTAGATTTCTTAATGATAGATTTTCTTTTGTATTAATTAATTCATTCATTCATTCATTCATTCATGTCTGTCATTTCCTTTTTCAGTGCCCAAGATTTCCTAAATGTGTAGCTAATAAGAATTCCTGAAAAATAGCTCTTCTGTCCTTTTGGTTTGTCCATTTAATTCTTTGTGGGCTTTTAAATTTTTCAGTGAACAAAGTATTGTGATCTTGTGCTTTTCCTGATCCAGCCTTGAAATCACCTATCCCTCTAAGGAGCTCTGTTTCTTTTTAGTAAAGGATGATATTTAGAAATCAAGATATTGGTGCTAGAAGTGCTCCCTGTCACTGGGCTATCATTGCTTCTACTCCTCAGCCTCTCTCTCTCTACATGATTTTATATTTGTTTCAATATGTATTGCTCTCAAAATCTCAAAATCCATGAGCTCATACATGAATGTTTTTAGTATTATTTCTTTCCATATTGGTTGGTCCTTTCTGTAACAGAGAGAAATTTGGCTTTCATTGCTTTCAGTATACTTACTGTACTTATGTGCTTGAGCCTTCTCTATGTAACCTGTTTCCTGTCCACATTGATCACCTCCTTGGTCTCCACCCCAGTGTCTCCACTCAGACAGGGTAACTCTTGGCCCTGGCCCTACCAGGCCTAAACATATTCCTGTCTTACAAAGCTTCTCTGTTTATTTAGAAAAGCATTATATATTTTTTCTCTATAAACTTGAAAATAAAGCAGATTTTTGATACATAAAAATCATGTTTGGGATCTTTTTCTATAAGGAGGGACAATTTCTTAGACTCAACAGTATTGAATGCTTTAATTCAGAAATATACACTCATTGGCTGCTATCTCTGGAATATAATACTAACTGAAATTTTGAAAAAAGACTAAAGCTTTAAAGGACTAAACTGACAAGGTATTATTGGAGTCCAGAAGAGGAGAATTCAACCAAGTCTTGAATCCATTGATGATTCACAGAAAAATTCCTGGAGGTAATATTTGGTTTGTTTTGATGACTTGCATATTTGGCAGGGTTCCCTGGAGAAATAGAACAAATAGAATGTGTAAATGTGGGAGTAAGTGTGCATATGTATCAATCATTAAATATAAATCTATATGTGTATATAAACATCCAAGATCTATAGCCACAAGCTGGAGGACAAAGTAGAGTCCATGTTGTAAGCTCCAAACCAAAGGTCAACATGCTCAAGACATGAGACAAGCTGATGTTTCAGTTTGTGGATAAGACCAGAAAGGACTGATGTCCCCACTCAAGCAGTCGTTACCTGAAAGAGAGTATGCTATTTTGCTCTATTTGGATCTTCAACTCATTGGCTGAGGGCCAACCACATTAGGGAGGGCGGGTTTTTTTGTTTTTTTTTTTTACTCAGTCTACAGATTCAAGAATTATGCTCACTCCAAAACACACACACTCAGAATGATGTTTCACCAAATACTGGGTACTCCGTGGTCCAGGTAAGCTGACAGACAAAATTAACCATCATATCTTGGCTTTCCTAAATCCTTCTGCTTTTGATGCTAAGATTCTTTAAAGATTCAATGGAGTCTTCTTTCAGTCTTGAGGCATTCATCATTATTTATATACTTAACCACATGAGTCATATCAGGGATTTCCCCAGCCTGTAGTTCCATGACTACAGAGGCAGTATGTCGCTTGATTTCTTCCAGAGTTTCAGGTCCCAGTACAGTGCCTAATCCAGAGGAGACATTTGATAAACATTTGTTGAATTGATTATATTCTAGTTCCTTGTCATTGTGACCTTTAAACAATTATTTTCGAGGTCTGCCTCCATGCTGCACTGTGTCCCAAGTATAAATGATGACAGTCTTCCTCCCATCTGTTTTCCGCCAAGCAAGGGGACCATGACTAACATTTTTCTCAAGCTTTGGGTTTAGCAAAGATCCATTCTGAGTCTAACAACCAAAATTCAGGATCAGTTGCTCATTCTTTCACACACAGCAGTGGTTTCAGCAGCATACACCCCAGCTTGTCATTGTCTACCCACATCCTCTGCGGAGAGGAAACCCTTCCCAGCTAAAGAGCAGCACAAGTGGGGATTCGGCAGCCGGGAAGTAAAGATGAGGTGTTAAAACCTTCCCACTGAGGGAAGCCGGGCGCCCTGAAATCTCGCGAGATCTTGGGGGCCCAGTGGAACGCAGGCTCCGGCTTATCATTAAGGGCCTTTGTTGGGGGCGGAGCTCCGATGGGAGCTGTTCGCGAGTCGTTACGTGCCCAGCGTAGCGTTGAGACTGAGCAGCCCCTGAGAGGAGCGTACCGTGGCCATGAAGGAAGAGAAGGAGCCTAGGCCTAAGCAGAAGCGAGTAATCCTGTTAACGCCCCCGGGGGCCTTAGGCAGTAGCTGTGGGCCTTCGAGGGACAGCGCCAAAGGGCAAAATAAGCAGGATCGCAACAAGGAGAAGAAAGAGGCGCTGAGCAAGGTGGTAATTCGAAGATTACCTTCTACTTTGACCAGGGAGCAGCTTCAGGAACATCTTCAACCTATGCCTGAGCATGATTATTTTGAGTTTTTTCCTAATGATACTAGTCTGTATCCTCATATGTATGCCAGAGCATATATCAACTTTAAAAACCAGGAGGACATTATTTTGTTCAGGGATCGATTTGATGGTTATGTGTTCCTTGACAATAAAGGTCAGGAATATGCTGCTATGGTAGAATTTGCACCTTTTCAAAAAGCTGCAAAAAAGAAGACTAAGAAAAGAGATACTAAAGTTGGGACTATCGGTGATGATCCAGAATATAGGAAATTTTTGGAGAGTTATGCCACAGATAAGGAGAAAATGACATCTACTCCAGAGACACTGTTAGAAGAAATAGGAGCTAAAAATAGAGAATTAATAGCTAAAAAAGACAACCCCACTTTTGAGCTTCCTGAAAAACAAGCAGAGAATGAGAGAAGAGAAAAGGGAAGAAAGAAGGAGGCAAGAAATAGAACGGAAAAGGCAAAGAGAAGAAGAGAGAAGAAAATGGAAAGAAGAAGAGAAACATAAAAGAAGAGATATAGAAAAGTTGAAGAAGATAGATAGAGTTCCAGAAAGGGACAAATTAAAGGATGAACCAAAGATTAAGCTGCTCAAGAAACCAGAAAAAGGAGTTGATAAAGAATTGGATAAAAGAGAAAAAGCCAAGAAACTAGACAAAGAGAATCTGAATGATGAAAGAGCCAGTGGGCAGAGTTGCACACTGCCCAAGCGTACTAATGGCGAGCTTAAAGACGAAAAGCTGAAGAGACCTGAAGATGAGAGTGGCAGAGACTACAGGAGTGGGACAGGGACTATGAATGGGAGCAGGAGCGCATGCTCAGAGAGAGAGAGAGAGAGAGAGAGAGAGAGAGAGAGAGAGAGAGAGACTGAAGCGGCAAGAAGAGGAGCGCCGCAGGCAGAAGGAGCGCTATGAGAAAGAGAAGGCTTATAAAAGAAAAGAAGAAGAAACTAAAAAAGAGAAAGAAGCACTTCGGGATAAAGGAAAGAAGAATGAAAGTACAGAACAGATTTTCACTGATGCGGAAATTTAAATAGTCATGTTATGTCTATATCCCGTGTCCCAAAATTTTAGGATTAGTTTTATCCTTTTGTTTGCTTACATGAGCTTAGCATCAATAATATTTTTTAACCGCTCATTTTGCCTTTAGAATTTTTTCTACTAATATGTAAAACATAGTCCTTATTTGGTTCTTGACAACCAGTCTTTGTTTTTATCTTAGGTCTCATGATCTGAGATGAGTGCACACTCTCTCCAGGAAGGAAACTGCACCGATATCTGTTCCTCTAAAATAACAGCTTTAGTCTTAACTTGTTTTGTATTGTTGTCAATAAATACCAACAGCATGAAAAAAAAAAAAAAGAGCAGCACAAGTAGGTGACTGCAGGTACAAGTGTTTAACAGTTCAGCTTTGCATCTCTAGATAAACTCTAAGATAAAATTAACTAGGTGAAAAACAAAAACAAAGGAACTCCTAATGCAATGCTAGATAAAATACAACTTGAGGCTTCTCCCTCCTAAAAAATTATCATAATGGGTACTCTATTTAAACGTAATATGAGAATTTTTTTGTATTTGTACTATATTTAAACCACTCACTTCTACTGAGAGATAAAATTCTAGCAATTCCCTCATTTACCTTAATATTTAAAAAAGAAAAATGTGACAGTGATTACCCTGTAAAGTTACCTCACCTGTAAAATGTCATACCTACAAATGTAGTTGTTTATTATTTTACTCTGAGTATTATAAGAATTCCCCCATATCTGGGTTTCAGTTACTAACAACCATGGCCTGAAAATATTACATAGAAACTTCCAGAAATAAGCAATTCAGGAGGTTTAAATGCACACCTATTGAGTAGCATGATAAAACAGCCATTTTAGGGCCGGGGATTTAGCTCAGTGGTTCTGCCACCTACCTTGCAAGCACAAGATCCCAAGTTTGATCCTTAGTACTAGTCCCCCCCAAAATAACTGAGCCATTTTACAAAGGGTGATCAAAAATGCTGTGAATGCTGCTGTTGAGTGCCATCCAAGGGAAAGACAAGCTAGTAAAAATATTCTGGTGTGTTATCATCTACCTTATTCACTGGATCTGGCACCATGCAACTTCCAGCTCCTCCCCAAAGTCACAATGACCATGATAGGTAAATGTTTTGAATCAATTCAGAACATCCAGGCAGCCACGACAGTTCAACTAATACATACATGAAAGAGAACTTCCAAGACTGTTTCAGCAAGTAGCAAGAATGATGGGATAAGTGTATTTAAAGTGAAGGGGAGTATTCTGAGAGGAATTAGTGCCAATGTGCCTTTTACTGTAATAATTTTTTAATTCAAACATTCATTCTATTTATGAACATAACATATTTTGATACTACATTCATATAATTTGTATTACATGGTTAATTTTTCTATTTTGTCATTGCTTATTGTTGTTAATCACTTACTGTCCCTAATGTATAAACTTTATCATAGGCATATTTACACCGCTTCATCTTTTCAGGTGCGTACCCTTCAGTTAATTTCTTAGCCCAAGAATGTACAAGTAATGCAATTTTCAAGGAAGAGCTTTAGACCTTGGGAACTAAAGATGTTCCATTATGAAGTACCAGTCAAAAGTTACAGAAAAGGCAAACCTGGTGTGATGTTCAAACTTAGAAAAAGAACTCTTGGTGGTTTATTTCCACCAGGGCATCAGAGACAGCAGCCTGCTCTCACCATCTGGGTGTAATAAATGAAGAATTTGAGTCATAAAAATTTCTACCCAATTTAGGATGTACAGTATTGTTTTTCTCAAACTAACTGCCCCTGGCAGTTCTAGTTAATACTTCCGTTCAAAATTTAAAAAAAAACACAAAAACTTAAAAGCCTTTTAAACTGACATTTAAAATAATCTGGGAAACAATGCTAAAATAATCTCTTCTACATCAAACTTCCTGTGAGATATGATTGTGTAAGCACACCCTCCCTTCATTCTTCCTCCTTTAAGAAAGATCTGAAGAGAAGCAAGCAGAGGGAAGAATTAGCCTTCCGGAGAACAAATGAGGGAGACGATGTGCATATTAGATTTCTGCATGGAAGAGGATGTAACCAACAGCAAATATGCAAGGAGCAAAGAGGCTTCTTCCCAATCACAGCAAACTGAGTGGAGAGCAAACTGATTTTTTAAAACTGTTATTTTGAAGTTTTAATCTTTGTCAAGCAATGTCTTGTGATTTATTGGATATTTTTTCTATCTCCCTCATGAAAAAATATTCTCTGTGTAGCAAAAATATTGCATTTACCTCAGACACTACAAGACACTGGTGTGAGCCAATGGTAGAAACTTCGTAAGTGTCAAAAATGTTTTCCTCAAATTGACCATGAATTGCCTTTGATTCACATAGATTTTTTTAATTATTTATTTGGATTTTTGGGATAAGGTCCTGCTGCATAGTTCAAGCTGGCCTTGAACTCACTAGGTAGCCCCAGCTGCCCCCAAAAATTCAATGATCTTTCTGCCTCAGCTT